ATTTCCCTTCCTCTTTCCATTAAACAAATGAGCTGATAATTGAGGGATGACATTGGATGACCGTCATCCGGCCGGCTGCCCACCAACATTTGAGGGTGTCCGTTTGTTAGTGAAGATGCCCTAAGTCCTTGTACGTATAATGCAAGGTGTTTAGGGGAGGAGCTTTAAAGAAAATAAAAGGTGAACATCTAATTAGGCATTCACATATAGATAAGCACGGTGCTTAAGAAAACATTGATTTATTTTACTAAGCATTTTCCTCGACGACCTTGCATCGTATGTAAAGGCCTAAAAACCTCCGAAATTTCAAGGTTGTACTCCAAAGTGATAGGCACCATCATGAGAGGCATCTCAGAGGCCAAGGGGGAGAAAAGAAAAGAAACCCCAACCCCCTAGAACCTTGCTGCCATGGCCATCGCCATCGCCTCCGCCCTACGCCGCGCCCCCAGGGCGGCGGCGGCCACGCGCGCCCTTCTCGCCGCCCTGGGCAGCCCACGCGGCGGACGCGTCGGTCCTCCCCACCATCGCGCGGCGCCCATCGCTCCTCTCTCCTCCCTCTCCGCCCCGCAGCCGAGCGCCGTCGCCGACGCCCAGCTCCTCCGGGTCATAACCTACGAGATCTCCCGCGCCCAGCTCGACTGCAGGAACCGCAACTGGGTAACAGCCACGCCTCCTGCACAAAGCTCGCCATTTCTCTCCCCTTCACCGCAGATGATTCGGGGAATAATACTGGTTCATCTGAAGTTTTAACAATGGATTATGGTCCCGCCAGGCGAAGGTATTAGGGGAAGGCTTCCCCTTCGAGATCAGAGACAAGGAGGGCACCAACAGGATAACGCTCACGAGGACCCATCAGGACGAGCGGATCGAGGTGGAGGCGCTCCTGCCCAGCCCCGTCGACGGAGCTGCGCAAGACGACGGCGAGCAGGAGGAGGATGACCAAGCTGATGAAGACGGCAAGAAACAGGGCCACGCCGGCGGCGATGTCCCAAATAAGTACTGCATCCCACTCATTGTGAGGATTCGCAAAGGAGTAGGGGCGGCTTCATGCTTGGAGATCGGCTGCTGCTCCTACCCAACGGGGTTCGTCGTCGAGAGGTTGGAGTTTGAATCTGCTGGTGGTCGTGGAAGTGGAACTGCTTTCAGGTTAGTGTAATGCCATTTGCTTTGTTGGCACTTGATTGTGTGATGGTTTGTCATGGCTGTTCTAGGTTTGCTTACACTGGGTTCACATTGTTTGTAGTGATATTCCTGGGGAGCTTCAGAAGGCTTTGCAACTCTACTTGGGAAGTAGGGGCATCTCGACGCATTTTACTGACTTCATGCATGCTTACATGATAACCAAGGAGTGCCATGAGTATTTGTCCTGGTTGAGAAAACTCAAAGGTCTGGTAAAAGGTTGAATAGGGTGAAAGTTCAAGTTTATTTCTTTCAATCTGGGTGGTAGTTTGGACAAATGGTACTAGGAACGCATTCATATGGAACATGAATCCTACAAAAATGATGTGAGATGGGGCCTAGCACTGTGTAACCTTTGTTATGTGTTATGTTTTTTTTTAACTTTGTTATGTGTTTTTTTTTTTAACTTTGTTATGTGTCATGTTACCATGGAGGCAAATGCTACTGCGGAACTTTGTTTTAGCTATAGTTGTACTGGGCCTTGGTCATGGCTTGCATTTGGTTGTCAAGATTAAGCGAGGAACTGACCACTGCAACCATCTCTTCCTATAATATTTCGCACTTTCACTGGTGCTACATTTATCGAGTACAAATCCTGGTGAAAAATGCTTACCACTCTGGCTGCTTGTTTGGTTTGAAGCTAAGTTGCTGCGAGTATGCACAAGAATAAGCCTACAAAGTTTGTTACTCCCTCCGATCAGTACGAAAGTTGTACAAAAACAGCGTCAATTAATATGGATCGTAGGGAGTACTATTAAACTTCTGGCAACCTTAGGTGCGACAAGCTTTGGTTGATATCCAAACAGCCCAATGATTTGAACTGAAGGTCATCTCAGTCCAAATTCCAGAATCATACGACTAACTGAACTATATCTACTTTTTCGAGCTTCGCCCATGAAATGTTTAAGTCATTCATGATTTGTTCAGTTTGGTGGTTAAACCCAAGGGATGCATGTGTACGCAAACAACATACCTCACATCAATTAGCTTACTATGCTGGATAGAAACATGAGAAAACCATGCATTCACAGCAATGGATTGTACAAACAAAAAAGAGCTTCACATTCTTGCTAACCACCGTTGTTGTACAACACGGTGGCAGAAAGTTCACCAGGTACAAATTTAGATGCAAACTTAGTAACTTCGCACTGGAACGCACACAGTGAAATTCCCTTAACTACAGGAGTCAAAAATCTTGAAAACAGACACTCCCAAGGTCTATCAAATCTAGGGTCAATATGTATGTAGGGTGAAACTAGTCCACTGCCTGGTCCTCGGAAAGATGAATGGCAGAACAGAACGACGGGGACACAAAGAAAACATCCAGCTCACCTGCTAAAAGGAAAATAGAAGCGTGTTAAAGAGGTTGTCCCACTTACTATAGAGTACTCAATAACATTAAAGTGTGGAGTTGTTCAGAAGGGTGTAATGGAATATTTGGAAGTGGAATTGAGGATATGCAGTTCGACAAGAGTAGCCGACCTGAAGCAACACAGAATAGATCTCAGGCAAAAAAGAAAACTTTGATGAACAGTGCCAGAGCAAACTGCAGCACTGCTGCACTTGCGATTAAAGCCATCATATCAGCTCCTTCGGTGCATTCCTTCAAGTTTAAAAAGATGAACCAAGATGATGCACCACCAGCACCAGCTATGATGACCCAGCGAAGAAATTCCACAGGAATAAGGAGCAGTATCTGAGGCAAAGAGAAATAGCAGAGCAATCTGTGTTAGACAAGCAAGTCACCCTTTGCATGAAAGAATAGAGTGCTAGCCAGAACACGGACAACCATAAAATTATCATGATTTATTACTTTGATAGAGCAATTCTCTGACTAGATATTCTTTACATTATACTCTCTCCGTATCAAAATATAAGACAGCCTACAAAAACGACTTATATCTTGGTACAGAGGTAGTATATAGTTGCATCAATAAGTGAAAATTCCCACAGAAGTTAAATAAAAGGTACATATGCAATGTGCTACATGTTCTTGCTTCTAAAAAAATACGAATATAAATGTATACTGGGATAGAACTTAAATACTTACAGATGCCGGCACGAAGATGAACAGAGAATAGCCCCACATACACCAAAACCGGAGAAGGCTTGGGCGTGATCCAAAGTACTGAAACAGGAAAAAGAATGCAGCAGGTACCACGATAGCATAACCGTACATGACTGATGCCGCCAAACTGAAATAGCTGACATCAAAGTTCCATATATTCAGATCACTTTTCCTTTGCATTAGATAAGTGGCAAAGTTTCCGAATGCAGCCAGCATGAATATCAGTGTAGTGGTGATCCATAAGGGTCCATACCTGTGGAATAAAAAATGATTTATCACAGATCAAAAAGTAAGGGTAGTTATAACAATGCAATAAGAAACTCAAGTGCAAAAGTGGGTGAGAAGTTCCTTCAAATTGTTACTTGTCATGTTCCCCTAAAAATTATGTTGCTAGCATAACAAACCCCATCGGCTATACAAATTACTCCCTCTGTCCAGAAATACTTGTCATCAAAATGGATAAAGGGGACGTATCTAGATGTATTTTAGTTCTAGATACATCTCTTTTTATTCATTTTGATGACAAGTATTTTCAGACGGAGGGAGTACAAGTTACAACATATATATCTGAGTACTGTTACACCATACTTGGTATTTCTCTAGAATTTCTATTAAATTATCACACTTCCCCAAATTAAAATTTCCATCTGCTGACACTATGCTAGTGCTAGTATTGCTTCATTACACAATTCTGGCACGTTCCAACAGTACTCTCAATAATACTGCAGCATATGCACGTGCTACAACTTATGATATCACTCGACATGTTAACAAATAGTGTAGTCATCTTTTGTGAATTGCCCTTGTTGTGAGATATATACTTGACCATTTGCCTCAAATCATTTAACCACAAACTGACTCAAAAATTTCAAACGTGGAAGCAGATGGCAGATTGGCAAGACACTTACATGTCAGGATTAGCATCTATCTTCCTGAAAAACCCATCCATTGGATAAACTGAACTGATAAGTCTGTCAACAACGACATCAGTATCAACATTGAAATATGGAGTATAAGAGGCAACATTGAAGTATCCTTTCCAGTTTGTCTGTGTTTCTACATCTCCACCTGCAAAGAGGGTAAAAAGGATTTCGACATGGAACAACAGATGCAAAAGAAACATCATCGACATGCAATTTAAAATGAAATATTGAGAAAAATCCTATCATCTATGCATTGTCTGGGATAAAGGCCAAGGTAACAAACAAAGAACAAATGCATGACAGTGCTTTCTTTGGACTGGAGACTGCTAGAAGATCATAATTACATTATTTTTCGGAAGATCTAAAAATGGTGCGCCATAGGCAAACAATAGCAGTCATGAAATGCACGATATTATCATCATGTGCTCAATACAACAGTTATAGTACACAATCTCTACGACTCATCCAAACAGAAGTTGCTATAAGCTCTATGTTAGTATTTTGCACACGCAGCTTTAACAAAGTATTACCAGGATATATACACACTAATATCACATCGGGATGGAAACCATGGGGAGGTCATGTGCTTTGTTCAAGATTTCTCACTCAAGAGACATCACAGCTATACTCAGGCCCTTTCGAACTGAAATCTATAAATCCTACACTTGGGCCATTGGAATGTAAATACAAATCTCATAAGCTAGTACCCACTAAACCAAAACATATCCGCACCCATTAACCTGATACATTGTGTATGCGGAGCTGGATTTATTCGAATATTGCAGACAAACTATTACTGTGGATGGAACACGCTGGTAATTAATTTAACAGGCCAATTTGTTACCTAGAGGACTCCCTGGAGGCTGGTACCCTCCTCCGTTGGCAGCAGGAGCAGGCGGAAACTGCTGAAGGCGCGAGGTGGCAGCGGCATTTCCAACTGAAATGTAATTAATGACAATTAATGTAACCTCAAGCCAGCAGCGCCAGCAGCAGAACTAATCTGAAACGCACGCGCGCGCGCACGTACCTTCGGCGGGGGCACCGGGCTTCCTCTCATCGGGAGCCACAGCCACAGCCTGCAGATGCAACAGAATCAATCAGCCCAGCTCAACAACAACGCCAACCCTAGCGAAACGAGATGCAGGAAACGATTAGGGGGGAAGGGCGTGATCGGTACGGGGACGGAGCCGAGGAGGTGGCTGGTGGGGAGGCTGGCGTAGCCCTCGTCCATGGCCGCTCGTGCGTGGTCGCTGCAGTCGTCGCCTATCGGCAGCTGCGCATGGCCGCGTCGCGTCGCCGGGAGTGGGGATTTGGATCGAGGATTTTTGGCGAGTGGGGAGGGAGGAGGGGGGAAAGGGGAAAACTCTGCCGTGGGGAAGTCGTCGTCGCACGGCCCTCGTGCTTTGCTTCGGAAAGAAGGAGGTCGCACCTCGTGTGGCTGGTTTTTTTTTTTTTTTAGAAACCCTCGTGTGGCTGGTTTTTTCTCTAGGGTAATAGCTAAATTTTATTGATCAAAAACCACATGAAGTAGAATATAAAAAGACCGTGGGGTTGAAATCAAACATGACGCCCCTTGTGTGGCTGGTGTGTGGTGTAGTGGTCTCACTGGTGATAAACCCGTTTAGGAATTGGCCCAACACTATCGACCAACCCATCGAACATGCACAATGTGTTTTTCTTTTGGAAAAAAAAGTGTATGTCCTTTTTTCAGAAGAAGTGTGTATGTTCTTGTCAGCTCCAAAATAAAATGAATGAGGCGAACTTAAAAAGAAAGGTACATATGCTTTTATGAAGAAAATGTCACACCCAATATGCGATCCTATCTGAGAGAAACTCGAAGGTCTCATCAAGGATAGAGCCGCATATTGAAGACGCTTTTGCAAGGTGCATATCATTACATCGTACCATTACATAATAGATGGTGATACATACAAAAGACATACAATGCCGCATGAATACAACAACATCGTATATGAGGGCATCATCCGACTATGCATGAAACACAAATAGAAACTCAAATGACATCCACCCTCCTATCCCAGGCTGCCGACCAGGAACCTAACCCCTGAACGAAGAAGAAGCAGAAGAAGAACTCCAAAACAAGCAAATATCGCTCTCACGTCAGATCATCGCGTTACCTGTACCTGCAACTGTTATTGTAGTAATCTGTGAGCCAAGAGAACTCAGCAATCCCATTACCATGGGTATCAAGACTAGCAAAGCTTAAATGGGA